AAGATCAGGAGACGCAAAAGGAGAGAGAGATTGCTCCCAACTCGGCGTCATCGTTATCATCATCGTTGGTGAACCGGAAATGATGGAGGCCTATGGAGAGAGAAATGATCCGACGGTGGATCAAGAGGAGGCGGATTGGCCACCCATCTCCTTTGGGTAGCATTTGGAGAAGGAGAGGGGTGAGAGGGAAAGAAACAATGAGAGCGGTTTCTTTCTCATGGATTGTAGCGTTAGGGCAGATCACATGGATGAGGAAAGGGAGAGAAGAGTAAACAGTGACTGGTATTTTCTTTCTGGATGGCTGGGTTTCGCACAACAATGGAAAGAATACAAAAAAACATGGGTACTACGTGTCAAAGGAGCTAGTGGCCTTGAGAAGCAAATCATAGTGGCGGACTAAAGGGGAAGAGAGGTGTCTCTTCTAGGAGTTGTGTATGAAAGGTTTGGCAGAGCGGAGCTGAAGGGGAATAGGGCCAAGCCGGGCATCCGACCTAGGAGAAGGAGGTAGAAGCAAGAAGAAGTCCCTCAAGGTTTGCAGAAGACTACAAATAATGCTACAATAGTTTTTGCAATGAAGCGTACCCACTCTTTATGTGTAAAGAACTATTGAGAAAGGGAAGGAAAAAGAAGCTATAGTCTTTGATCTATTGGTTGGAATTTACTTCAAATAGCTATAGCTTCACCTGTACTTTAGCACCGGATTAAATCTCTGGCTACTCAGTGATGCGATCCCACTCATCCTACATGACGCTACTCGAGCTCAAATTAGATCTCTAAATGGACATGGATCAAGAGAGGATTTAAGAGGTTTAAAGAGATCTTGGGAGCTTTAAAGGTGGAAGAAAAGGGCATTACAAGCAAAACCTACGAGTTTGATCATGTGAAATTGAATGTCAAGATATATCGTTCTCGTGGTCCAAAAATGAAGGTCCGATTACAACGATACAAGGATCAAATGGGATCGTTCTTGATGGAAATGGATTTGCATAAAGGAAAGCCCATCACATTGCTTCAATTCGTTGATCCAAATCATAAGATGGGCTTGGAAGAAAGAGAAGAAGATTCGGCCTATAATGAAGGAATTCCCCCATGGTGTGAACACAAGGTATGAACAGAAGGTGTGAAAGGAGTACAAGTGTGAACGGAATATCAAGTGTGAACACAAGCCATGTGAGGGAGGATTTTAAGGCTAGAATTAAGGGTTGAAAAAGTCAAATTTTTTTCCTTTTCTTTGTAGGACTTTGTTTACTTGTTTGTTAAGGTTTTGTTTTTCTTTTTCAAGTAGGATTTGTTTATCCTTAGTAGTTTTGGATGTAAATTCATTGCCTATATAAGAAGGCCAAACTATTATATTTTTCATTCAAGTTTTCAGCAATCAATTACAAGTGAGTTTGTGTGAGTTCCATTCTGAACATTTTTGCTTAATCTCTCCTTTGAGGATTCGGGAGAATTGAGTAGTCTCTTATCAACTAGAGAACGCGTCTAGTTGTGGTGAGCTTTGACTATATCGATTGGCTTATCCACGGGTTCGAGAATGTTTGATTGGTTTCATATACAAATTGGCCCTTCTCACGAGTTTGGAACTGTTTGATCGATTCCGCAAGTATCCTTTATTTTTGTGTTGAATTAGAAAGAAGAAATCCCCTAAATAGTTCGACATTGTGCAATTTTTGATTTTTGGTCCAAGTTTGAGTAGATTCTCGAATTAGGATTATATCAAGTGGTATCAAGAGCCGGTTCAAACGCAGTGGAGAAGACAAAGATTCTTGAAGTTCTTGGTCGTTCGTGAAGCATTCTTGACAGTTTTGAAAGTCAAGAAAGCAAATCTTGAACGTTCTGGGAAGGGTTTCATGTGCGGAAAGGAATGTATCTTGATGACAAAGCATTCGTGGGTTCTTCTTTAGAAAGAAAGCGATCAGCACAAGACGTGGGGACACAACTTCAGCAAATTGCCACCCAAGTAGCAAAGGTACTTCAAGAACAAGCGGCGGCTAAGACACAAATTGAGGCATTGCAAAGGCGTGATCAAGATCAACCTCAACCACAAGATCTAGGGCCACCCAAGGCAAGTTTGTAAACCCTAACCCTAGGGAACGACGAGAAGAAAGGAGAGTTGTTCGAGCTGTCCAACGTATAATGTATGAGAATGTTCGCTGACATAGGCCATTGGGAGGGCATCGTGGTGCAAGGAGAGACTTCCCATTCTATGCGAGGAAGGGTATGAAGAATACGAGTATGATGGAGGTGTTTACTGAGATGATGATGATGATCGACGAGGCTTGAAGATAACCGTACCATCATTCAAAGGGATAATTGCTCCGGAGGCTTATCTCGATTGGGAACGCAACATGGAACTTATTTTTTATAATCAAAACTACTCGGAGAAGAGGAAGGTGGCGATGGCTACCATTGAGTTTACGGATTATGCCCTAGCATGATGGGATCAATTGAGCACGAAGAGAAGAAGAGATAGGCGCAAGCCCATTGAAACATGGGATGAGTTGAAGGCAATCATGATAGATTGATTTGTTCCAGCCTATCATCAACGGGAGATGCACCAAGCATTACAACTTATTCGACAAGGCAACAAGAGTGTCGAGGATTACTATCGAGAGATGGAGCTATTAATGATCCGAGCTGATGTTCGTGAAGATAGGGAAGCTACCATAGCTCGATTTCTACAGGATCTTAACCGAGTGATTCGTAATGTCGGGGAAATTCAACAATTTGTGAAGGTAGAAGACTTGGTGGCTATTTGCAGCAAGGTGGAGAGGCAATAGAAGAATAGGAGGTTTATGCCTACTACAAGTACTACGAAACCTACTCCAGCACCACCAATAAAAACTTAGGACGAGTGTTCCTACCAAAGAAACACCAAAACTCGGGCCAAAGCTAGAGGCACCAAACCCTAGCAACAAATAGGGTTCATCTTCTGGAGGGATTCAATGTTTTAAGTGCCATGGACGAGGGCATATGGCAAACCAATGCCCAAACAAGAGAACATTGATTCTACTGGAGAATGGCTAGTATGTTTCTGACTCTGAAGAGGAAGCAATTGAGGAGAAGAACTCATCCGATTCTGAAGTCGATGAGGCTATCGAGATAGAGATACCGCCGAGAAAGTTATGTGTAGCTCGAAGAGTTCTGAATATAGAACCAAAAGAAGAGCTAGAGCATCGTGAGAATCTCTTCCATACGAGGTGCATGGTGAATGGAAAGCTCATGTCGGTTGTGATTGATGGAGGAAGCTGCACCAATGTGGCTAGTGCAAGTTGTGTGAAGAAGTTGGGGTTGCAAACAACGATTCATCCAAAACCCTACACTCTTCAATGGCTAAATGAGGATAGTTCGATCAAGGTTGCCAAAAAAGCCTTGTTGAAGTTCTCTATTGAAAAATACAAGGATGAAGTCACTTGTGACATGATGCCAATGCAAGCGGCGCATGTTTTGTTTGGGAGGCCATGGCAATTTGATCGAAGTGCTCAACATGACGGCGTTACCAACAAATACACATTGAAATACCAAAGTAAGAAGATCGTATTGAGCCTCTATTTCCTAGAGAAGTTTATGAAGATCAACTGCAAATGCAACAAATGCGAGAGGAGGAGGAGAAGGCTCAATGTGCAAAAGGAGCAAAGAAGGGTTCGAGTAGCTTGGAGTCCAAGGCATTGATGCTAGCTCGACAAGGAGATATGAAGTAAGCTCTCTATGATCTAGTGCCTATGATCATCATCTTATACAAGGGATTGCTACTCAACCATGAGCTGGTTCAAGAGGTACCACCTAGGGCACGAGTGGTACTAGAAGAGGGTTTCGAAGAAGAAGTGGCAGAACTAGAAGAGGTATTGGAAGAAAAAGAAGAGGATCTTGTTGATGGACTCGTTATAGCTACTTGTGGAGAAATTGCACAAGCTTTGATGCATTCTCAACCAGAACCAGAACTTTAAATAGAAGATAAAGAGAAGGTGTTGCCTATCACCAACGTGATAATGGACTTTGATCATGATGAGATAAATCTAAAGGAGGGCCAAAAGAATCACTTATTGAAGAAGCTATAGATCATGTTCAGTTGGCCATTGAAGATGGAATCTACCCAAGGATGTCTATGACAATGAAGATATGGACACAAAGGGAAATGTTCTACAAGTTCAAGACAAGTTTTTCCCTATTGGAGTAGATTTTGATATTAGAGATGTCATTGAACATCACCAAAATTCGTCCATGGGCATCATCAACGTCCCAAGTACATCACCAACATCAAATTCTGATTTTAAGCATGGTCCAAGCTCTTCTCAACGCAAGCCAATTCAAATTGGAGATTATGGTGCGATTTTTCAACATGTGGAGTTTGTTATTGGAGATGAAGTATCATGCAAGGAGGCTCATATTAGAGAGAGACGAAGACTCTAAGAGTTTGTGGATCAACTTAGCCTTCAAGGTGTATGGTCAAGTGGAAAAATGATGAAGTCACGGGAGAGCATTATATGTCGCAGCAAGATTTGAGGTCAAATCATTTTCAAGAGGGAGGGAATGATGCAATCCCACTCATCCTACATGACGTTACTCGAGCTCAAAGTAGATCTCTACATGGACCATGGGTCAAGAGAGGATTTAAGAGGTTTAAAGAGATATTGGGAGCTTTAAAGGTGGAAGAAAATGGGCTTTACAAGCAAGACCTACAAGTTTGTTCATGTGAAATTGAATGTCAACATATATAGTTCTCGTGGTCCATAAATGAAGGTCCGAGTAGAACGATACAAGGATCAAATGGGATCGTTCTTGATGGACATGGATTTGCATAAAGGAAAACCCATCACATTGCTTCAATTCGTGGATCCAAATCATAATATGGGCATGGAAGAAGGAGAAGAAGATTGGGTCCAAAATAAAGGAATTCCCCCATGGTGTGAACACAAGGTGTAAACAGAATGTGTTAAAGGAATACATGTATGAAAGGAATATCAAGTATGAACACAAGTCATGTGAGGGAGGATTTTAAGGCTAGAATTAAGGGTTGAAAAATTCAAATTTGTTTCCTTTTCTTTGTAGGACTTTGTTTACTTGTTTGTTAAGATTTTTGTTTTCCTTTTTTCAAGTAGGCCATAACAGTATTTGAAGAATTAACAGTCAAAACTCAAAATATACGGTCGATTATACCCTATCTACACTAATGCAGCGGAATGCACTTCATTACAGGAAAACTTCTTTTGGCTTGCAAATATACATATCGCCAAAAAGAAAGGAACATCCTTTTTACGTTTGTGTACAAACCAAAAACACTTCCTAGTAAACTTCCACATTCCACTGCTCAGCCTTCTTCAGCTGCTTCTTGTAATCAAACCAATCAATTCCTGCCAATAAAGGAGAAACATAAAGGTTAAAAGTGAAACCTTTAGCACCAACAGGCAACAAGCAAACATATTTCGCAACATCGGAATTTTTCTAAAGCTTTACCATCCTTAGCAGCCAAGCCGACCATAATGTCATCAATGCCCTTCTCCATTCCCTTCAGTCCACACATGTACACGAATGTGTTATCTTTCTTCAGTAGCTCCCACAGCTCTTCCGCATATTGAGCCATGCGCGTTTGGATGTACATCTTTTCGCCCTTCTCATTGGTTTGCTCCCTGCTGACTGCAAAGTCCAGCCTGAAGTTTTCAGGTGCCTTCTCCTTCATCTTCTCAAACTCCTGCTCGGGCCGAAGTTGAATAAAGATTTGGCGGAGTGTAGGGGTATGGAATCTCATAATAGTTGAAAGGGTTTTCGGTTAACTATACCTCCTTGTAGAGCAATGAGCTGCTAGTGGGAACTCCAAGGAAAAGCCAAGCGAGACCATTGAACTAAAAAAATTGTTGGCAGGAATTTAGCAGTCTATCTATTTCAGTATTTGACAGTACTGTCATCATCAGATATGCATTTGAACATCCGGATGACATCAACTTAGTTGACACATTAACAGAGTGGCTTGGAAAGAAAGAAAACAACTGGCATTCAGTTTGTACCTTGTAGTCCTCATGCTTCTCAAAGAACATTTTCCACAAGAACGATCTGAAGGGTGCAATGCCGGTCCCAGTCCCGAGCTGCAAAGAAGAGGAGTTCAATGCAGAAAAGGCATGAGAATCTAACTGGAACCCATATAGGTAGCTGAAATTGGCATAAACATGAAGAATGCATAAGAGCATGTTACCATGATAATTGTAGCATTAGGGTCTTTTGGCATAAGCATTTCCTTACCAACTGGTCCTGTGATTGTAACTTCTGAGCCGGGCTTCAGATCACCTGGAGTCAACCACAAACGCAGACCAGAATATCTCAGAAGCCTAAAGCTCTAACCGAACTGACCCATATTCCTAATTGGGTACAAAATATTTTATTCTTGACACGGGCTTACACAAGAAATTTGAGCAGACTCCCTTAACAGTCTCTCCTTGGTCATTAACGTAAACAAGCCTCTTTACACAAAGGGAGACCTGAAAATGATGATTGCAATTAGAAAGATTCCAAATTCAAGTGAATATGCACTCCAGTTGGATAATTGTACTACCGTACGTGAAACAAACGAGATGTAAATGTTTTTAATTGTAGAGAAACGACTATCCATTTCGTTTACTTAAAGTAGAAGGAGAAGAATAAGAAATAGCCTACAGTTTTGGAGTCGCCGAAATCACCGATAGCACTGCTGGCAATTGAATACAATCTAAGCTTGTGTGGCTTCCCGTTCTTGTCAATGCCCTCTGGAATAACTCCAATCGACTGCCCTTCTCTGTATGGCACCTCCCCTGATTCGGCCAAAGAAAAAGAGAAAGAACCCATTTGATTCAGTGGAAGGAACGCATATGAAACTATAACTATAGCTAGCGACCAAGTCTCCAACATAACAAATAAAAACAGATATGGCACGGCACACCTTCAGTGCTGAAAACCATGTGCCAGGTCTCTCCAGGGGCATCGTCGCCAGTGATCTTGGTGTTGAGAAGGCATCTCCCAATGTAAGGCTCCTTGGGTTTGAACTTGTTCACAGTCACACCTTCCTCTTGTTTCTTGGACTCCTTCTTCACCTTAGCAGGAGCTTCGGTCGTGACTTGGGCTCTCACTGAAACCAGTCCCCTGCTTCCAGTAGGCACATAAGATGCCTGACGAAATGCAAAGCAGAGAAGAAGATGGAAAACCCATGTCAGGAAACGAGTAGGAGCAAAAGTGGAAATAGATCAGAGAGATGAGTGAGGGAATCCGTGATCAGGAAGTTATAACCTTCTTGAAGGTGATTCTTTCGTGGGTGAAGACTATGGAGGTTCTGGAAGAGAATGGGGATGACTTGGAAGAGGGAAAAGAGACTGCAGCGGAAGTCACTGCAGCTGCCATAGTGGTGATTGCGAGTGTGGGAATGTGAGGGAAGGATGAAGAGAAGAGAAGAGATATGGAAGTGGTGGAGGGAGAGTGAAAGGGGATCAGTAATGTTGGGTTTGTATGTTTTGGGTTAAGGAGATTACGCGATTGCGTGGACGAGATTTCGGTGGCAATGCAGTGGCTCTTGTGAGGATAAGTCTACGCAATTCGCAAAGACTATGATATACGACTCCTTTGTCGCTCCGATCGAAACGACGGCGTGACAATGATTTTGTTCTTAGTTTTCTACCAAATGCTTCACTGAGATGATGTCCCACAGAATCATCATCATCATCATCCAAATAATATATAGAGATTCTCTTTGATAACCCACTCCATCAATTTTTTCCAAGCTCCTGCGCAGAGCAAGGGAGGATACTTTGGTATTTTTAAACACCCAACTAATTAATTAAAATTAAAAGGATCTCGACTCTAACTTAAAAAGTCCCATCGTTGCTTAATTGACTTGCTGCATGCTATGTTATATTTATCTTTTATTTTTATGAGTAGTTTTGTTTCTTTATCCATTTATAATCTGATTAGTTGTACAATTCAAATTGCAACGTCACTCTTTTATTAGTTTTTTATCATCTCATTATTTTTACGTTGAAATTAATTATAACATGATATCCACTTGAACATGTATTAAAATAAAAAAATTTATTAGTGTGTCATACAACATCCTCCCATACATATAAGCACATTATTGCTAAAGAGCTACTCAATTCAATATTTCCTGCCCTCCCCACAAAGCAAGGAATGCCTGACGAGTCTTTTCGCATCTCAACTCTCGATCAACTGGCTGTCGTTGTCTTCTCATTTTCTTCGACTTTTCGTTTTCTGTTTTGCAGCCCACTAGCAGGCATTGTATTAATAATCCCATAATCCCCCTACTACAAAAATATAATTCCCATAATCCCCCATTGGTTAGCGTTAGTAATGGTAATGGATAGGTACAATGCGGGGATCTCGATACCCATACTTGCCCTGTCGCAGGTCTGGTAATTTATCGCAGGGTGTGAGTCGGGGCAGGTCGACCAAATGTGTATGTAATTTAATAAGGAAACTTTGAGAAATACTCATTTTTTTCATTAAAAACCAATATAAAAACTAAAATATGATAAATATAATTAAATTATTCAAAAACTTGAGGTTCTCACCTTTTTAAAACTTTATTACAGCTAAAACATGAGATAATAAAAGTAAAAAATCGTAAGTAATTTGAGTAAAATTACATGTAACTTAGCCAAATGCGTGTTGAAAATGGGTTCGATCAAGACAGGTCAAGTACAGTACCCATGCCTACCCTGCCTTGCCTATTGGACGGGTCGGACACGCCCAAAATAGGTCAAACAGATCGGGTAAAATGGGCCAGGTCAAAATCGTCATCCCTAACTAGCGTTGTCTTTATATACGATAGTAATGGTTTTATTAATGAATTATAATAATAAAAAAGCTATAGGTGTGTTGCGATATTAAAATGTATGAAATTTTGTACGTAACTCTCAATTAATATAATATTTAAAAGTTTAGTATCAATAATAAAATGTGTTTAAAAATAAATAAATTATCAGTTTAACTCCTTAAAATACGTGTATTAAACGTGTTATACATGTCCAATATTACAAAAATTGAATAAAAAAAAGAAACAACTCTATAATAATACCTAAACGAGAGTTTTAAATGCATTCAATAGAATACATATATAACATGGATGATAAAAAAAAATTCATATGATTTTTAGCTTAACAATTCAAGAATATGGTCACTTTTAGTCTAAGGTAAAGGAATATGTTTAGCTCGTGTTAAAATTGTTTTGACTAAAATTTAATTTATTGCCAATGCCATTTCTTTCTCTTCAAAGAAATGATAAATGCATGTAAATTTCAAAGCTAATATGGCAAAAAAGCAACTACGAGTCGATTTCGGAGGAAATTTTGTTCAATAAGTTCAAATCATGTACCAAATCATGTTATTGATGCTATGTTCATATTAGCCATTCCATTATCTATCTCTGAACATCAAGGTACGTAAAAATTTCTTACTTTATTAGTTGAGTACTTGAGTTGTTAACAATCATCAATTGATGATTATTGGCCATTTTTGTGGGTGAAAAATTATTCTTTTAGATTAAAGCTACCTTGATGTTATCGAATCTTGATATTCCTCAAGAGGTTGAATTTCACTCATGGTAACATTATTATCCCATTAAATTTATTATTTCATATTATGTTGAAATTTATAAATGCACCTTGAATTATTTTATTTTGATAATGTTTATAATAAATTAGAAAAGAGATTGCACTGTTAATAATCTTTCTTATGGGTGCTTATTTTCTATTTTCCAAGCAATTGAAAAACTAGACTTTCTTTATGGTAAAAACTAAAAACTGTCTTGCTATTTTGTAAAAATGATATTATTACTTGTTAATTCGAACGATATTGACATATAATCATGGAACGAATATTATAAGAGAAGAGGATACTACTAAAGTTTAAATTTTGAAACTTTGTTGATTGCGATTATCATATTGCAACCGGCCAACGGGCCGGGGTACAATCTAGTGATCTTACAATACACATGATCACTGATCCTTTTCGGGACAAATAAAATTTACCATAACATTGAATTCTCTTTGTACCATAAAAAGAAAGGGAGAGGATATGGTGACAACATCTATTGTGTTGTTAGGGTGTTTATTTTGTAGTGTAAATAAAAGCAACAACTAAAACGAACTTCTTGGAATCAAACAAGTATTCGAAAAACTAAGAGAAATTTATACCCTCGACAAATGCATATGAGAAATAGAAAAATTCCTTAAAAAAATAAAAATTCCTTCTTCTCCACCTCTTTTCACGACTACATCTATATGGGAGATCTGGCTAGTTTTTCCCAAGCTCCAACACCACCACCACAAAAATAGCATTGCCTGCTGCCTAAAATGCTCTCCCCTCCGGCACTATCTCCTCTATCATCACAACCTTCTTTCATTACCTCCCGCTATCCTTCCCCAATCAGTTGATCGTTTTTTCAACTTCCTCACTCCCCCTCCCGACCTCTAATCAAATCGCTCCTTCCAATCGGTGCCGATTCCACAACTTTCCCAGCAACAGGCGACCAACTATGCTTGCAATTGCGCATGAAATTTCTCCTTCATCTACATCACTCTCCTAGCTCCGATCCTTGCTCGGCTCGACTACAAAGATCTAGCCATGGCGATTCTGACTCTCTTCTCCATTTCACCGACACCGCATATCAAAGACGATTTTTGGTGATTGGAGGGATCACAGCCGCTGCTGTTGGGATTCTAGCAGAATGGAGAGCAACATTCTCGGCGACAGAGGAGAGGCTGGTGACAAGGAAGAGATGGAGATCTTATAGGGGTAAAATAGAGAGATGGCTCGCTGCTGGGATTGGGGTTTTATTTTGGTTTTTAATTTGTTACTTTTTATTGGTTTTTACATATTTACCCCTGATTAATTTTGTTGTTACTATAACAATACTATGAGTGTTTTCATAGTATTCACAACCTAATGGATTTAAAGGTTACCAAAATATGCTGCCAACTTGATCTTCAAGATAGCTCCCACGAACTTCAACGAAATTAAAGATAAAGATGGAAATCGATCAAATAATCTGGAACTTGTGAGAAGGACCAATCGATATAGTTAGAATTCACCACAACTAGAGGTGATTATCTAGTTGATAAGAGAGGCACAAACTCCTGGAATCCTCGACAAAAATTTGGGCAAACGTTCACAAAGGAACTCGTGAATAATCATTATCTTTAATCAATCAAAATATGGTGGTCCTTTATAATGAAACTCAAACTAAATCCTATACTAAGGATGCGAGCAAAATCTTAAGAAACAAGTAAATAAAATCCAAGAATTACACAAGCCCTATTCCACAAAGGATTTGACCAAAAAACTAACTTTCTTCTTGGCTAAGGAAATGACTTTCCTCCTGGCTAAGGAATCCCTTAACCCTAGATCTTTTGCTACCAACTTGGACCAAGCTCAAGCCTTCAAGATTAGCTTCTTCGAGCTCCACTCCATCCTTTAGGGCTTCTTCAATGTATTGCAACAATGTAACAGGCCTTCCTCCAGATATCTCCTCGTATATGCTAGCAAAGTGTTGTTCCTTCTTCTGTGCTTATGAACGAGTAAGAGGTCCCTCTTATGGTAATATTTGGTGTAGTTTGCTTGGTCTTGATGACCTCATCATTCCCTCCATCTTGGAAAGGATTTTCACTCAAATCCTAGTTACCATCTAGATAGGGTGAAAAATCAGAAACATTGAAGGTTTCACTTATCCCATACTCTCCTGGTAAGTCAATAATGTAGGTATTGTTTCCAACCTTTGAGATCACTTGGAAGGGTCCTTCACTTATAGGCAACAACTTTGATCTCTTTTGGTGATGAAATCTCTCATTTCTCATGTGCACCCACACCTAATCTCCTTCTTCAGAACCTTGAGGCTTCATATGCTTGTTCACATTCTTCTTGATTTGTTTAGTTCTCCTTTCTATATTCAACCTTGCCTTCTCATGAAGATTCTTCACAAACTCCTGGAATCATCAATAAAAAGTTTCATGGTTCACGTGTTAGAGCAAATGTTCACAACATGGACGGCATGAAATCCCCCCCCCCCCCCCCCGGAAATAATGAACAAGTCAAATTTCAAGCAGGGTTAGTGCATCTCGAGGGTTGTGCACACTTTACTGCATAAGGAAGTGAATAAAACACCAAGACTATGAAGTATGCACAAAATGGTGAGTTTTCAGCTGCGAGCATGTTTTGCACTATTCACAGTCGTGAAGTATATATTCACTAAAATCATGATCTTTGCACTCCTACGAGTATAAATTGACAACAACGGGTTTATGAGAGGGGAGATGGGTTTTTTACCCCAAAAGCTCCAAGGGGCGATTCTAGAGAGAAAGTGACCTATGAGGGTTTTATGAGTTATTTTGGAGTATCAGATCACCATCCAAGATTGAAGAACATCCCCTAGAAGATGAAGATTGAAGATTCTAAACTTATACTGTATTCTCTCTCTTATTCTCTATGAATTAGCTTTCCTTCACTTAGATAGATGAACCCTAGTTCTTGATTTTTCTTTGAATGTTGATGTATGTGAGAACTCCTAATTAAGGCCCAAGTTTAAATCTTAATTGGGT